AGTATTAGAAGAATGGGACAAAATTCCTCAGGAATGGATCAATGGGCTTATTGAGCAGCAGGACTTCTGGGTACACGACTTAATTAAGCGATGTGGCTGGTCTACAGCTAATTAATTAATAAAATTCATGATTCTGATGCCCTGAACGCACGGACTTTTGTCCCCATGTTCGTTAATGACCCTGAGACCGATATCTACCGCGTTTGTTGTTGTAATGTGTGTCGGAATTCTCAGGTCTTTTCTCATGCCACTTAATGTAGCCAGGCTGACTTGTTTACGAAGCGAGCTTTGTTGATTGTTGATTGTTGACATCGTTCTCATTTGTTATGCCCACGCCAAACCTAGGGGTTGAATGCATGAAGCCTTCCTGTCCGCCCGCAAGTACAGATGGCAAGTCCAGATGATGACAACCCTCCACTTTCTAGAATAGCTGAAAACGTCCCTTCCTAGATCATCGCGCTATCGCTATCCATGGCATTCCCATTCTGGTCAAGGACAACATCGCTACCAAAGACAAGTTGTTGGATGTCTCCGCGGGCTCTTATGCTCTTTTGGGAGCGAAGCCTGCGCTCGAGTCTTCTCTGATCAGCAAACTCCGAGCAGCCGGCGTTGTGATTCTGGGAAAGACGAACCTTTCGGAGTGGGCAAACTTCAGAGGCTTGAATATCAGTAATGGTTGGAGCCCAAGAGGTGGCCAAACATTGGGCACATATTATCCGAACTCTACACCTGCAGGAAGCAGCTCCGGCTCGGCGGTAGCGACGGCACTCGGACTGTCTACTGCTGCAATTGGCACCGAGGTGAGATCGATCTACTCTTGCCCTGTCCTTGCAGAAAGCTAATCCGATGCGCAGACCTGGGGTAGCATTGTAGGCCCAGCCGAGCTTAACAATGTCGTCGGCTTCAAACCAACCCGCGGCCTCATCAGTACCGATGGCGTTATCCCTATTTCGAGTCGGCAAGATGTGATTGGGACTCTCACAAGAACAGTCAAAGACGCAGCGTACTTGCTCAGCGAGATGGCAGGGAGAAGTAAGCGGGACGAAAGAACTTGGCATATCCCATTCAACCCCATCCCCGATTTCACGACCTTTTGCAAGGGAACAGATCTAAGTGGTATCACTATTGGAGTTCCTCGGAACACTTGGGAAGGCGAATCACCAGCACCGATCCAGGCTTCTTTCGAATCCGCGCTGCAGACATTGAGCTCTGCCGGAGCAAATGTGGTAGAAGATTCTGATTTTCCACAGGCGGATGACTTCAAGAAGCTCAATGAGCAAGTCAAAGGCATCGTGCGGTCGTCCGAATTCAAGAGAGATATTGTCCGCTACCTCCAAACTCTGGAAACTAATCCAAACAACATCCAGTCAGCAGAAGACATTATCGAGTTCACAAAACGCTTCCCGGCCGAGGAGTACCCAGACAGAGACATCGGCAAGTTCTTATGGACTCAAGCAGAGGGGGTCGATGTTGACGGGGATAAGTACAAGGAGATGGTGAAGCAGGAGCAGTTTTTTGGTGGCGAGGGGGGGATCCTTGGGGCAATGAAGAAGTACCATCTTGACGTGCTAGTTGTTCCTGCCGACCAGGATATAGGAAACGATCTTGCTGCAAAGATGGGGTTTCCAGTAATTTCTGTTCCGCTCGGATTCTGGCCAGAAGATACCTCTGTCCAACTTGATAAGAAGAAGCCGAATTTGGTCAAAGTTGCGCCTGGAATGCCGTACGTCAACTTCTGCCCTTCTCACAATATAAGATACTGACTGCGCCAAAGTTATTCCCTGATATTCATCACGAAAGCCTTTTCTGATGGAGTCTTGCTGCAGGTAGCCCATGCATTCGAGCAGCTCACGGCTGTAAGAGAGAACGGGCCACTACCCATTAAGGTTCCAGAGACGGAGATGGTGGTGACCCAGCGCAAGGCGGAGAGAATGTGAGGATGTATTCGGTGTGCTCAAGGTTGATGATTCACTATTTTTGTGATATTCACTCCGGGTTACCAAATTTCCCAATTCCTTTGCATGTACAATGTGGACGATGGCAGTCAAAGATAAGTTACGTGCTTAGCTTCATAGCATTCATTGCCTTTATATGGGGGGAACTTAGGACATAAAGGGCACAGGTATGATAATATGATAATGTGAAGTATTTGAAGTGCAAAAAATAACTTGAATTGCTATGATTTCGCTACTTGCATCCTCTCTGAGCTCCCTTAGTCACTTCTTGTACTCAATAAAATAGCTATTTTCATGTATTTAGTACGCTGGCACTATGAATGCACCGGCTCTTAGAATATACTAGCTTTCTGAATTTTTTAGTATGTACCGGCTCTCGGCATGCACTGGCTCTCTAAATGCACAGCGTTCAGTAGCACAGCAAAACTGATAGAAGAGGAAGAGAAAGAAAAATGGAAAAGAGCAAGATCTTATTCTTAAGGGGTTATAGAGCTGCTCTAGCTTAATAAAGGAGTGCTCGGATGCTCGGGTTTTAGGAAATGAGGGTATTTATAATTTTACCCGAGTATTCCCGCCCTTTGCTTTACCCACGAGCGTTTTTAATGAAGTTTAGGTAGCTTCATTTTTTGTTTTTTTTAAGTGAAAATTTTTGCGTTATCATAATTTTTTTCTTTTTACATTACTTTTGCGTATATGCTTTGGTGTAGCTAGAGAGCCGGTGCATTTAGAGAGCCGGTGCATTCAGAGACCCGGTGCAATGAAAGCTAGTGCAATAAGAGTTAGTGCGGTCAAAGATAGTGCATTAAATGCAAAAGCTAGTTAGTTAAAGGAATTAAGGGGATATAGCAATGTTCAGTATTTAAATTTCATAGTAGATCAAAGCTTTTTTGCACTTTTACTATTTAAGACTTTCATATTATTATGTCTATGCCTTTTATGTCCCAAGTTCCCCCCGTACCTTTAGCAAACAAGCCTTTCGGGTTCAAGGATAGAAAATTTATTTGCAAACAAGATGCAATGAAATGCCATGATCTAGAACATTGAGTGAATATTGAGCGCGTTGGAAGGAGCCATGACGAGCCTGGGAGGCTCGGCTGGCTGGGGAAGGTGAACGCCCCGCAGGCTGCCTTCCGCATCTCTCTACTCCTGCAACGACAACGAGAACAACAACCCTTCAACGGCAATGCACTGCTCCCCCATCTATTTCCATTCACTCCAGTCAGAACTCTGTCAAGATGGAGATGTCTCAAATGTGAGTGCCGTCGAACCGAATCCAACATAAAGTACCTAGGCAAACGCTCATCATCACATCACAGGGAACAGCTGTTGTCCGATCAGTGGAGGTCTGCCGGAAGCGCTGGTCGCGACCAGCTCGAGCGCGATGATTTACGACAAGTCCTCGATTTCGGCACTTGGGAAGACGTGCAGCTCCAAATTCAATCAAGTCTTGGCGGCCCTGCGGACTCTGCAATCCACCAAGAATTCGCCCTGCTGGGGCACGGTCTCTTGAAACTAAGAACCTTCACCGACAACTGCATGCAGCAGGCTTCTTCGAGAATTGACACATCCGTACTCTGGGGACTTCTCAGGGTTATCCTCAAGGTCTGCCATTCTTTAAGCTTCTAGGTGGTGGGATGAACTAAATCGCATTTCACGGAGACAGGCGCCGCCGCAAATGTTATTCGAATGCTGCGCGAGAATTGCCACAAGATCGATATTCTCAACAACCATTTCACCAAGGCAAATACATTTACAGCAGAACTGAAGGAGTGTTGTGTGGAGATTGGTGTCACCTTTCTCTCCTTCCTCTCCTTCCTATTTTCTGTGGTCAAATTCATGCGAAACGACATTATATACACAACCCATGGTAGGTGATGAGATGAGCTGTGCATCGGAGCAATAACAAAGCATTAACGCTCAGTCTCCTAGGAACTTCACTTGAAATCGAGTGGGCGCCTTTAGAGCAGCAGTTCTCGTCAACTTCTCGTCACATTGGCGAGGTATTGTCTCGAATTGAGATGCTCTCCAAATTCGCAGAGCGATCGAGCCAGGCAAGCAGAACTTCCTCGGTCCAGGAACAGCCCTTACTATCCTCCAGCTTGAAACAACTCTCTCTGTCGGACGAGCATGCAAGACTGCCTTGTGTGGTCCTCCCAGCCATCAGAACGTCACGATACTTTGATCGTGTTGATCTCGGTCAGAAGATCGAGGAGCATTTCAATGAGGTCGGCACGGAACAGTCATTTCGATCTCTGACGATCCACGGTCTTGGAGGTGTTGGCAAAAGCATAGTGGCCCTGAGATATGCCGAGAATAAGCTGCGAAAAGGTGAGCTGGATGCACTGTTCTGGGTGCAAAGTGAGAAGCTTGTCTCCACCAAGCAGAGTTTCACGGATATTGCCCTTCGTCTCAGATTGCCAGACGCGCGACAAGGTGATCACGACCAGAATCTTGCTCTTGTACTCAACTGGCTTCAACAAACTCGTAGGTCATCCTTTTCTGACATCACAACCTGTCTCGTTGACATCAAACTAGATTGTCGCTGGCTCATTGTGTATGACAATGCTGAATTCGCCGACTTAATCCGCGATTTCTGGCCGCTTGCAAGCCGTGGCCAGGCTCTTATCACGACACGCAATCCATCACTTGCCTTTGAGCTCGCAGATCGTATGATGGAACTTACTAGTTGGACAACCAGACTGGATTGAGCTTCCTTCTCCACCTTCTTTCCACAGATCTTACATCCGATCTCAAGGAAGACGAACTTACTTCTGCACAACAACTCTCGCAAAAACTTAGTGGACACGCTCTCGCGATCTCGGCGATGGCGGGATTGATACATAGCCGTGCCTTGTCCATCACTGAGTTCATGAATTTCTACAATCAGGCTCCGAGCCATCTGCATGGAATATCAGGTAACCGCTCCATCAATGCACTTTGGGCTCTCTCGTTCAAGTCTCTCAACCCCCAGAGTCATACAATCTTGGGAGTAATGGCTTTCGTTGAGCCGGACAGTATCCCTCAAGCACTCTTTGAACTTGACTCTCCCGACGATGTGCCCGAGTCACTCCGCTTCTGCTCGGATCTCATAAGGTAAGCCAGCAGGTGTATGTGTTTCAGTTCTTAAATTAACGAAAACATCTAGCTTCTCGGGTGCAATCGAAACTCTTCTCACTCTTGCTCTCGTTAAAAGAGATCACACATCAACGACCTTTTCGCTACACCGACTTGTACAGGCGGCTTTCAAGCATTCTATGACGTCTGAGCAGCGACAAGAGGCTTTCAACAATGCTGCAATTTTAATGTACCACACTCATCCCCGGAGAGACGCTAACAGAGCAAATTTGTATCTGATGTGGGACCTGTGTGCTAAGTATCTTCTGCATGTCATCAGTCTCAAAGATTGTTTCCGCGAAGAGAAGAAATTCAACCCCAAATTCACAGCATTGTCACTCTATTGCAGTCTCAACAACTCTTGCCAGCGGTACACCACGCCACCAAGCCATATTCAAAGGGTTCATCACTAACTTATCGCAGATATCTCTTGGAAATCAATTCCTTGGATGATCTTGCAGATCTGATCGAGGTTAACACCATGGCTTTGAATACGCTGCCTCCGGAAGATCAAGCAATTAGTCTGCAAGGTTCCCTGTCTTCTCACCGTGGCCAATTGCTCCTTCGTTTGGGTAAGCCAGAAGAAGGAGTACAGTGGCTGAAGAAATCGTACGAAATTCGCAGCCACGACGTACCATTCAGCCCTCGAGAATCAGCTTGGGCCGCGAATAATGCTGCAACAGGGATGGCTACTCTCAACAACTTTACCGAAGCCCTTGAATGGTACGAGCGTTCGCGTGGTCACTACCTTGAATGGTCGGATCAACAGGAAGAAAATAAAGGTGAATTGAGTCCAACAATCATGATAGAAATGGGATTGTGTTTGGTCTGGTCTGGCCAGCCGCAAGCGGCACAAGAGCTACTTAGCAGCGCACTTAGACAGATCGAATCCACGAAGCCCTAAAATTGGGCCAGAGCGGCGGGGTAAGCACTCTTTTCTTCGTAACACCTCGGGATGCTAACAATTCAGTGCTCATTTCGGGCTTGGTCTAGTTGATCGTCACAATATTGATTTTGAATCTGCAGGGACCCATTTTCTGGAAGCCCAGAACTTATGGTTGAAAGGAGACCAGATGCGAACAAATCCTTTCAATGCAGGTTGTATGTACCACTTAGGCTGCGTTGCACTGGATCGAGGAAAAGTAGAATCTGCAGTGTGAGTACCAGGAAAATCCGATGTACGCAGTGCTTTCGTAACTGATTAAAATAGACGACACTTGCGTGATGCACTGACTATCACCCAGATGCGCACTCATATCATGATGGCTGAGCATGCAAGAGTCCTCTTCAAACTCTCCGAAGCTTTGGAACAAGAACCTCGGCACGGAGAAGAAGCTCAGCTGATGCGAGAGGAAGCGGAACGCCTGCTGCGTCTACGCAGCCCGAACGAAGTGAACCCAGGTTCCGAATGTACCTATGATAGCTTGATACTTATTGACTGGCGCTGATGGGCTAAGGTTCTCTTAAGGAATGATCAATGGTACCTGGTTCTTGAGGGTTATTTTGCCAGTCTTCTTCCACCTTGTTACCTGTTGAGGCCAACATCATACCGTACATGCAAATCTATGAATTTTCGAGACAACCTTAATGCTCTAGTCTTCAGATCAGATTGCATCCATGGCACATGAGCGTGCAAAAAAGCTGTTTCACTATTATAATTTGAATCCAGGAACCAAGAAATCGATTGTTGCGCATCAATTTAACGCCTCTTACCGTCAGAGGACACACTCAAGCTCTTTCGTACGTATAGAACGATGCATTACGATCGTATAGTGATTGGCTGATCTATATTGGCTATCGAGAGCTGGCGTGTCAGTTGGAATTCGGTTGTCTCCACTTTTATTCGCTGGTTTAGGACTAGTTAGGGGCTCTTAGTGCTGAAACCTTTCATGCCTATATATCCTCACTCCTGTACTCTCACTTAGATTCTTCAGACTTATCAATACTACTCCTTTCTGCCCATATTGTTCCCGTGATATACGCACCTTCCATCTGATATGGCGCACCTACTGACCCCAGGAGGTCTTCTTACGAATACCTCGCCCCCGAGCAGCTGTTAGAGACTGAAGACATGCAAAGCAGCCTCAAGGCAGATAATATGGCAGTTAGGATGCTGCTTTGCAATGCCACTTGCCGTCACAAGGTCTGGTTTATCGGGTCTCGAGAAACTGTGGAATAGTTTCGCAAATACCACCGAGAACTCTTCTTGCAATATTGCAAACAAGTCTGTGCAGTTCATGGCCACACTCCACGACATCTATCCGCCTAGATGTATTCCATAGGAACATACACACTGGGTCGTGTCCACAAAATCCGATAACTCGATTCGATATTCAAGATGTCAGGCCGGAGCTTGAACGAGAGGGATAGTCACATTATTTAAACGAGTAAATAAAGTTTAAATATCGGTATTTTCATTAAATGCGAGCAGTAATAGTGCCAATAAGATTGATTATCTGTTATTTCGGCACTTTCTAACCCATTTCTCCCATCCCGAATCATGACCCTTGCGATTGCTGTTTTCTAGCTTTCTCTAAAGTTCCTGTAGATCGAGTATGTATGCCTGCTAGATATATACCAGTCTTCGGAGCGGTTCAACTATGATGTAACATATTGCGCAAGAGCCTTCGAGTACAATCAAGCCATATATATCCACGCACGATGGCGTTCAGGGAATACAAGCGATGTAGCCGCTTCGGAGTTAGGAATCAGAACTATTTGAGGACTCTTTCTTACCTTAATGAAGTAACTTTAAAAAAAAATCTATTGAAAGACGAACTCGTTCTCTGGGGGGTGGTATCAATTAAGAGCATAGTTCAGATTCTGATGTCACAATGCGATGTAAAAATCTGCATTTCGCTGGAAGTTGTTTACTTGGCAAAAGGTAAGTAAATCCGTCTCTCTTCATCAAATCTCCCAGCATCATATCCCCTTATGCTGTAGAGTTTCGACATCGACAACGAGCTCATAGAGGTGCCTCAGTTGTTGACAGCTCGTTAGTCCTCCGCACTTGTTCGCATCAGTTATTCCCGAAGTCTAGAGAGAGGGTTGTGGCTTTGGCGCGTTGGCAAATGAGCGATCATGCTTGTTCCTTGACGCATGGGAATCACAGCTCTGCCAATCACTCCTGGTTTCACCCACTGCCTGTTACAAAAACGTCCACATCGATGTCTTTGGAAGAACGAGTTGATTCCAGGTTGTCCTAGGTCTGCAGGACCGCAGTCTTGAGCCTGAGACATGATGACTGGGTCTGAAAGAACACTAGCATCACCATGTCAGCTCACTTCACGAGATAATGGATGTGAGGTGCTTACTATCCGTTTCGGTAGACGCCACCTTGGAGATCGCACAAGAGAAAATGGCGATTAGAATTGTGGTATGAGAAGTGACTTAGTGCCTGCATAGCCTCACCCCACTCCCCTCCTATATTTGCGGCCCATCCAGAATTGCTGTTGAACTTCTCAAACCCTTCTATCATTGGTTCGACCAGAGCTTTGTGGCCAGACTTCTCATACGTCCAAATCTCAGGAGTGTTCAATCGAATATGTCGTCCAGCTTCGATGACGTTAGCGCTATCGAAGTCGTCAATAATCTTTTGTGTACGGCGTATTATGTTCATTTCTTCCTCGAAGTAATGGGCTTCGAAGACCGAACCCGTTTTGAATTCCTTCACCACGTAGCGTTCTCCACTTCTTGCTCCCTGGGTATAAGTGGCCATCCAAACATTTTTAAAGGTTCCCGAGGCAAAAATCTTCTGTTTATCAACGGTGGCCTCCGTGGCGTTGTTAGTTCTTGAGTTTGACATGGTGATGTTGTATTGAATAATGTATGCCCAAATTATTAAGTTGGCCAAGGAGGACTTCTTATATAGATTCGAACGTGTCGTTGGTCGCTGTCCCTAAAGTGCGACAGCACTGCTGAGAAGATTGTGGTCGGTTGTAGACCGAGCAAGACGATCTCTCCATTCCAATCTCTTGAATGGAAATGTTTCAGCCTGAAACTGATTGATTCTTCATGAGGTGACGATGTATTGCAAACACGCTAGTCACTTACGAACATGGGGACAAAAGTCCGTGCGTTCAGGGCATCAGAATCATGAATTTTATTAATTAATTAGCTGTAGACCAGCCACATCGCTTAATTAAGTCGTGTACCCAGAAGTCCTGCTGCTCAATAAGCCCATTGATCCATTCCTGAGGAA